GGGAGGGTTGCGGTGGGCGCGGGGATTAATGGGGAGGGGTCCTGTGGGTGCTGGGAGCACTGGGGAGGGATCCTGTGGGTGCTGGGATTAATGGGGAGGGGTCCTGAGGGTGCTGGGATTAATGGGGAGGGGTCCTGTGGGTGCTGGGATTAATGGGGAGGGGTCCTGTGGGTGCTGGGATTAATGGGGAGGGGTCCCAGTTGGTTTTTTTGGTGCTCCCAACCATTTTTGGATGTTCTCCTGCACATTTTGGGGTTCCCCTGTGTTTTTTTGGGTGCTCTCCTGTGGTTTATTGGGGGTTCCCCTCTACATTTTGGGGCTCCCCTGCACATTTTGGGGGTTCCCTGCACATTTTGGGGGTTCCCTGCACATTCTGGGGTTCCCCCGTGCGTTTTGGGGTTCCCCTGTGGTTTTTTGGGTGCTCTCCTGTGGTTTATTGGGGTTCCCCTCTACATTTTGGGGGTTCCCCTCTACATTTTGGGGTTCCCCTCTACATTTTGGGGTTCCCCTCTACATTTTGGGGTTCCCCTCTACATTTTGGGGTTCCCCTGCACATTTTGGGGCTCCCCTGCACATTTTGGGGGTTCCCCCGTGCGTTTTGGGGTTCCCCTGTGGTTTTTTGGGTGTTTTCCTGTGGTTTATTGGGGCTTCCCTGCACATTTTGGGGGTTTCCTGCACATTTTGGGGTTCCCCCTGCACATTTTGGGGTTCCCCTGCACATTTTGGGGTTCCCCCGTGCGTTTTGGGGTCCCGCAGAGCCCATCAACACGTTCCACGGGATCCAGCACAACGAGGACGAGCCCATCCGGGTCAGTTACCACCGCAACATCCACTACAACTCGGTGGTGAACCCCAACAAAGCCACCATCGGCGTGGGGCTGGGGCTGCCCTCCTTCAAACCGGGGGTACGGATTTGGGGGGTGGGACCCCCGCTTTGGGTCTGGGGGCTGTCTGGGGGCTGTGATTTGGGGGTGGGACCCCGATTTTGGGGTCTGGGGGCTGTGATTTGGTGTCCCCAGGTGTCCCCAGGTGTGTCCCCAGATGTCCCCATGATGTTCCCAGCACTCCCTAGCTATCCCCGTGTGTCCCCAGGTGTCCCCAGGTGTGTCCCCAGGTGTCCCCATGATGTTCTCAGCACTCCCTAGCTATCCCCGTGTGTCCCCAGGTGTCCCCAGCTGTGTCCCCATGATGTCCCCGCAGCTGGCAGAGCAGTCCCCCCCCCAGCCATGCCCCCATGTCCCCACAATGTCCCCAGCCGTGTCCCCACG